GCCTGTAGGGTTTTCGGGTTTTGGCTCAGGCACATATCTATACGGTTTGGAGACATTTCGCTTGAGGACTTGGTGGGAGAGCTGTCGGCTTGAGGACTGATATAGGATCGTAGCCGCAGACCCACACACTCAACCCCAGGATCACGACACTTGCAATCCTAGGCTGAGATTCCCAAACTTAGGCTTGACATGCTTGTCATAATAGCTCTAACCGGGACAACCCTGAATTCCCCGATGCCTTCGCCACGGAGTGCTGTCGACACCGCACCGAGGCCTGCTGAAGCTCTTCGGGTGACAAATTGAAGAGACGTGGAAGCGTAAAGGGTGTTGCCTGTTTGGGTTTGCTGCTGTTTCTTCTGATTCTCGGATTCTTCGGGTGCAGGACAGATGACAGATTCTTGTTTGGGTTTCCGGCTTTGGGGGCTTTGCTTGTTCGAGCTCGTAGAGTTAAGTGCGCTTAGGCTTCAGGGCTTTCGGAGGGTTTAGGCTTTGTGCAAGACAAGGAGGCTACAAGGTCTCCCAGCATGTGGGCTAGTATGGTTATGTGCTCTAGCATTTCTACCGACAGACAAAAAACTTCACTTCGCCGCCTAGCATTTTGAGCTTCTGCTAGTCAAGCTTTGGAACGGAGGCCTGTCTTAAAAAGAGGGGAGCATCTATACCCCAAAACGAGTGGTGATCATAAACATCAACACCTCTAACTCTGCACCTTTAACACCCTAGCCCTCAAACCTCTTGTCGAACCATGATAGGTCTAAACTTCCCAACAACAAACACAGTGATTTGCAGCTTCACGAGATCAGGGAGAAACATATAAACTACCAAACCGTCGAATCTTTCTTGCAAAGACCTCCCCCCAAAAGGCGCCGCAAACCCTAAACCCTTAAACCCTAAACCCTAAACCCCGAAAATTTCCCAACCGAACTTCTCCAAGGTCGAGTCGAGGGCCTGCTAGGAGCTCCATCAGCGCCTCTGGTTCAGTCGAGTCCATCTCCTTCGGTTTAGGGGTTTAGGGGTCTAGGGGTTTAGGGCTTAGGGTTTAGGGGTTTAGGGGTTTAGGGGTTTAGGGCTTAGGGTTTAGGCTTTTTTTCTCCCACCCGCCCAGCTGACAAGTCGCACCGCAGGGATGACTTTAGAGTTCGAACTCAGGAGAAAAGACTCGTGGGCCTCCATGTTCGGTTTAGGCTTTAGGGCTTAGGGTTTAGGGCTTGGGGTTTAGGGCTTAGGGTTTAGGGCTGGGGGTTTAGGGTTTAGGGCAGTTTAGGGTTTAGGGCCTTCCGGGGCGGTTTCAAGGGCTTTGGATGGTTAAGGGTCTGTAGGGTTGCTTGGGATTTTGTTTTTTAGGATCTGGTTTCCTTGCGCTGCGAAGTTCTTGGTTTCACAACCCTAAACCCGAAACCCTTAACCTTGAACCCTGAATCCTAAACCCTAAATCCTAAACCCTAGACCCTAAACCCTAAACCCGAAACCCCAAGAGCCCTTCGTTGATAGGGTCGGACAGGGATCAGGCCCAGGCTTCGGGACTCGGGTCTGGATTTTGGGAAGTAATGAATATTGGAAGGCCGGTTATGGGGGAAGGGCTTCTGGTGTTAATCAGGGCTTGGGACTTAGGGTTGAGGGCATTTAGGGACTTGGGTTTCCGCATTTTGGAAGTTTTGGGTGAGTTTGGAGTTTGGGCCATTGGGTTTTGGGATTCCTGGTGACAACAAGAACTTTGTGCGAAAAGTTTGAGGTTTACAGACTGTGGTTTGGGCCGAGCAACGGTCGCTACAGTAAAATGGATGTTACAAGTTGAAAGCCATGAGGGTATATGCTGCGAACCCACCTAACTAAATCCAAGCACCTCTCACAACGACCAAGGATGTGGAAGGTGTTTGTCGAGCTCAGAAACCTAGCAACTACGGGCACACCACAGGAATCCAAAGCTCGGAGAAGTTTAGTTTGCCAGCGGATTTCCGTCACAGCAGTAGTTGTAGCAAGAGGACGCATCAACCGCCCACAAGCACGAACCAGTTAGAAACCCTCAGACCCAGCACGTACATCCGCAAGCCTTAAATGCGATGCCTCCATCCCCAAGACCTATATCCGCGACTGCGATTCTAGAATTCTAGAAGCCCAAACGGCGGATTCCAATCCCAACGTTCCGAAACCCTTTCCTAACTACTTCAGCTGTGGCATCCAGCTGCACCAGCTTCGGCTCTCCAAAGGCTCCACTGGCTCTTTTCAAGTTCCCTCCTCTCGAAGCAAGTGGATTATGAAGTTGAAGATTTAAGGGGGCTAGGTTTACGCCGTTTCTTGAAAGACCTCTGGAATTAGGACGCAGGCTTCACGTGGGCCACTGCATCAAGGTACCCCCATGCTACGCACGTATTCATAAGGCTTACTTGCTGAGCCCCGGGATCCTTCAAGCATTCAAAAGCAGTCGCAATTTCAGCCAGAAAAGCTGCTCAAGAATGCATCCCAACCTAGACCCTCCATCTATTCGACTTTTTTCCAGACCCTGAATATATGCTAGTCAGGACCACACATCCCCATTTCGCGGTAGAGACATAAGTCGACTTCGACCCAGGGACACGCAAGTTCATTCCAAGGCTCTCTAGTTTTACAGAAAGAAAGCAAAGCGGCAAAGCCTAAAGCGCCCACCGACATCCCATGAAGCACGAGGCTCCGGGATTTGGGGTTGGGCGTCGACCCCCAGACTGCCCGGCTCCTCCTGGCCGGGGCTTCCCAGTCCAGGCCGCAGCACCGACGGCAAAGATCCCCGGACCCAGGCCTTCGGAGCTTCATGGAGGGGCGCCAGTCAACAGCACAAGTACATAGAAGGACTAGCATGACAGGTCTGATGCCTTATCAAGTGATAAGGCAGCGCTCGACGAACACCACAGCTCGATATGCCACATCATGGACGGGACAATGTTGCCCTTCGTAGCCTTTACAACTAGACCATAGAGCTCTGTGCGTCAAGTGCGTGTCGACCTTGGGAACTGTGGTTTGGCTTTTGATCGACGGGTGGCCCAGTGCAGCCCAAACAAGCGAAGATCAGGGGCGAAGGGTTCCCTGCAGTCTAAACCCGAAACCCGAGAAGTTAAAGCCCTAAATCGTTCCTTGAACTCGATTGAATTGCATGGAAGCCTGCGACCTACACTCTGTGGCAAGACTGAACAGCAAGCCCCATTCTGTAAGACTTATTACTATAAAGGTTCTGCAAGGGCCACTTGCCCTGTGAACCCTGGAACCAAGTTCACATGCCTTGGACATTTCGTCGGTTTGGTCTCAGCAGCTGGCTTGGGTGGGCAGGTATCGGCGGCGAAGCTGGCGACCACAGGATTGGCCACATGGTGGAATGCTTGGGAGCATCGACGCGCTCGCGTGCATGCACGAATGTATGCATGCACGTAGTATGTTTATGTACGTACATTTATTTAACTATAGAACATTTAAGTATATGTATGTATGTGTACGCTTACGTGTACCTGAACGTGTGTGTGTGTATGTATGTATGTCTGTCTG